GTAATTTTTAATAATTAAATATCAAAGAGATTTTATTTTATATATATATATATATATATATATATATATATATATATATATATATATATATATATATATTCTCCCTATGTATTTTTATATAGGGTCTCAACCCAAATCACTAAACTCTCAATATCTTTGTTTTGAGATGAACTTGAAAGTAAACCTCCATCTATGGGGGCAAATGGTGTGGTCATGAGGTATCAGTGTTTGATGTGATTCTTTCTATTTTGCGACTTCAATTATGGGGGGTTGGTCATATTCAAACAATATAATATGACACGTGAACTAACTATAGGTGAGCTCTACCTAAGATATGTTAGGTGACCTCTTGCCATGGATATGTTTGAGACACCAACGTGATGGACAATTAATTATTGGCAGGTATTCCCCACACGGGTGGGGTTGGCTTCGTATATTGCATCACTTCGTTAACACCACTCCTCTCTTTTATTTTGGTGATTGCAATAAAATACTTGTAATAAAAAAAAATATAGATTAAGATAGGATAAATTTTTACATCTAAAAATATTATTCTAGTGAGAGACTTACCAAAGATTTTTTACATCTAAAAATACTTGGAAAACCTCTTGTATCAACACTTCATATATCAAATAATCTCGATGGATAAAGATAAGATCTTATGATCAAATATTGTTTTCTTTATTTATCATTTATGCTTGTTAAACCTAATGGGCTTCAAGAAGAGTCGGTGTCAGTTGTAGGACAAGTGGGGCCGGTGTGGCTTGTGCCACGTGTGAGGCTACCATCCAACACGAGTGGGAAGATGACGCAGACGGAATCCGGGATAGATAGATCCCGAGAGACGTTTAGCTGTTGCACCGACCGCGTGCGAGCGACATCCGTCCGCGGACCACGCGACGTGCGCAAACTACTCATCCGGAGCGACGCTCGATGGCACGAACGGGGCTTTCGATTCTATCACATTTGAAATCGGGAACGAATCAATCCGAAACCTGCCTGCGGTCGGGGACGTCTTCGACCTCAGCTCAACTCAACGGCAACAGTGATGCTCGTGACACCTTTGACGGAGAACAGTGACGAACTCAGCTCAACTCAACGGCAAGGGGGTGATAGTGCTTCCGTGACAAGGTGGATCGAAGATGTCACGAGCTCCACCTGCTGCTGCTGACGTGTTTGTTCGTCGCTGTGATGTGGCAAGCATCGAACGTGTATCATGTTCTTCGTTCTTCCGGTCGAGCTTTGAAGTTTTAAGCCATGACGAAGTGAACGTGTATCATGTTCTTCGTTCTTCCGGTCGAGCTTTGAAGTTTTAAGCCAAGACCTTCGTCATGGTCCTGTCGTAGAATTTTTTGCTTGAAAGGAATTATATACATATGATTGAAAAGTAAGTTAATAAATTTAAATAATATAATAATATTATATTAAATTTAATTAGTAATATAAGTCATAACGATATGTGTATATATATATATGTGTATATATATATATATATATATATATGTATATATATATGTGTGTATATATATATATATATGTATATATATATATATATGTATATATATATATATATATATACACATATATATATATATACACATATATATATATATACATATATATACATATATATATATATATATATATATATACATATAAGATAGTTGAAATAAATAATTTTAATTACAATTATAATTTTTGTTCAAACATATATTATCATATCTTTTATGGGTTGCTCACAAACCTAATCATAAGAATATATTCTTTCAAATATTTTACATTATAAGTTCTAAATGAATGGATCAACAATTAATACGTGCAACTCAGGTTCTTAATTCACACTAGTTGATTCTATAGTCCTATTCTAAATCTTCTAATTATGTGTTATAGTTAATATTATTTTCTTAATATCATTTAAGATTAATTCTTTAATATAATTTTATATTAATATAATAATATAAAATATAGTTTAAAGCATCCTATAAATAGTAAAATATTTATTACAATTCATATCTTATAGGCTTATCATTCTATAATACTTTAGCAACTACTAATCAGATAAAATTTAGAGATATAAGTTATAAATAATATTTATTAATTTTTTAAATCTAATTTATACATAAATAATTCAATAATAATAATTATATATTAATTAGTATAAAAATTTTATAATAACAACTATAATTTTGATAAGCATAAATCATACTTTTATATAAAAATAAATATTATTTCATAATTTTAAATGTATGTATATATATGTGTGTGTCTATATATATTTCTAAAAATATCTAATAATAATTAGAATTTAAGAATTATAAGCAATAAATTTTAACCAATATGTCATAAAAGAAAACTATAAATAAATTCTTAATTTATATTTTTAAATTTAGTGTAGATCCCTAAATTAGACTAATCAACGCTATTTAATTGAACAAGAATTGAACTACCAAAAACTAGTTAGAAGATTTAGGCTAAATATCAGTCTAATTTGATCAGTCAAAATTAAAATAAATAAAAAAAGAGTCAAAAATTAATTTTTTTCTAAATTTATTCAAAAATTGAGGATCGAATCTAAATCCATTCAAATAATAAAAATACAATTAGAATAAAGTCAAACTAAAATATTTTATTAAAGTAGGTCAAATTAGTTAATTTTATAGTTAAAAATACAAGTAAAAAATATTTGATTTAAGAAGAATAAAGCTTTAATTTTGTTAGGATATATATTAAAAACGTTTGATTTTATAAGGGAAGAGAGACACCAAATGAAAATAAAAGAATTTAGAAAGATAAAACAATCTTTTAATGGGTGAAAAATCCTTTTTTTTTTTCCTCTCAATCATTGCAGTACCTATGCAAGGCTTGCGATCATCGTAGTGCACGATCGTTCGCCGCTTGCAGTTGATCGACGAACCCTACAGTCACTATGATGTTTCACCATGCACACGCACGACTGTTCTCATGCGCGATTGACATATGCTGTCGCTAGAAACAATGCCTCATCCCAATGCCCAAACGTCGTGATGCCATCAACGCCAAAGCCCACCGCTGCGGCATAGGTGGTCGTCGATTACTCTAAACAACCCCGACAACAGCCTACAGTCGCCGAGCACCACCACAGCAACCCATCGTGCTTTGCTTTCTAGATCAACACCGTGACGCTCAACCATCGTACGACCTCCATATCGCAGCATCCTCTCCAGTGTTGGCTACCCACCACTCTGGTTGCCAACATCCTAGCGTCGCTGGTACATATGCCTCAACCTTCACACCTTCACCGTAGCGTGAAGGTGTTCCCTCACACAATAGCCGGTGTTGCCTATCGTAGCCACTGTTGCCATTTTCCGAGGGACCACCCATCACCCTCGATTGCTGCCAAAACAAGTGTGAATCAACGTCGTGATCGAGATTCTATGATCGCGACTCCTTATGACGGCATCGTCAATAGTCTATGATATGAATTGCGTGAGCAAGAAAATCTTCTTCGCTCGTAAGCAAACAACTAATTTTAGAGTGGAAGACTCGAGATGAATCGTGCAAGCATTATATGATCGAAAAAGAAATAATAATTTGATATAATCAAAATAGATCTAATGCATAAATAGATAAAAAAATAAATCTAATAAATAAATCGATACGACTTTGATACCAATAGTAAGAAATAAAATTATTATGTAAAAACTTAATGTCAAGATTAAAATCAAATATCATATATCTAAGATAGAACGTGTGTACCTCTTGAACACGATAATCAATATGGTATCTCGGATGTTGCAAAGTAACACTCCATGCGCATTAGAGGTAAGTAATAAAAAGAATTTGATTATGGTGGACTACCAAATACATTCTAAGTTCCGATATATACATAAAACACTGCTCCATCCTAAAGCCCAAACAGCCCATAATACCTGATGCAAAACAATAACCTCGATTGTTTGGATGATTGGTGATCTTCGTACAAAGGAGTGACCACGGACAACAAAATAAAGGAAAGAAAATTAGAACAAATATGTTCTTGGAGGCATCTTATCTTGAGAATCTCTGATACTTTAAGAGGACAAACATACACAATCCATCATGCTCAACATGGCTTTCTTTTGTCCATTTTCAAATGAATTTTAAACCATTTCTTTCTCTTCGTCGGGTCCCTACATTTCTTTTCATCCTTTGACTTCTTTTCCTTTGTTGGACACTCCTCTTCGCCATTAGAGCCATTGAAGGCACTGCTCATCTTGCTGCTACTTGAATTCTGTTTTAAAGGAGGAATGATGGTGTAGGAGGCATGAATAGCATTCCTTTCCTTAAGAAGCTCGTCAATCTGGAGCAGCAAATAACAGCATAAATCAAAACATCAGCAGGTGAGAAACAGAAATTTGCAGTGTTGATGGGTCTGAAATGGTGACGCTCACTGATTGCATTTCCTGTGCATATCTGCTTGTCATCTCGGTGAATCGGGCTAACACCTGTCAATCTCCACATATAGAGAGGCAGACTTGCATGAAAGAAAGGTCGGCAAGAACGTGTGAGTAAAATAGCACCATCCAGGAGATGCATCACAAACCTCTCGATATTCTGTCTCAAACTTGGACAGCTCAGCCCTTTTGGTTAATATCTTTGCCTCCACATCCTGAAGCTTTTCCTTTTCCGCTGAAAATTGTTCAGCACACATAACTTCTATTGTGTAGCTTACACTTTTGAAGAAGTTGTCACCTTAACATTTTGTTCAACAAGAACAAGTAAGCCATTAGCTGCAACCCTTATCAGAAGTCACTCGAAGAAATAGCATAAATATGCAGCTTACCATAGACAGCAAATGTATGGGTGCCAGCTCTCAGTTCATTTACTTCGCATGCTTGAAATCCATCCAATTTCTTAAAGAATTTGGCATCAGGATCTTTAGCGATTGCTACCTGGAGGAAAGAAACATAAGTAACCAAATAAAAGGTGCATAATTTATTAATAATCACCTCATTTGGTTTCAAAGTCACTTGCAGCATTAAAAATAATTAACCTCACCGATTGGCTTTGATCAAACCGATAAACAGGAAAGCGAAGAAAGAACATTCCAGCAGAAGTAACCTTTCCGGTCTTGATGCTGTCTTCCTGACAAAATTAGATGAATACATCACAAGCTAACTACAATCACCTAAATTATAATCCATATAATAAATGAAATGATAATAAGATGGAAATAATATTAGAACAAATACATATAGAGGACATAGTTGCAACTGAAGTGAGGATTTTGAATAGAATTAAATGCTGATATCAAAGTCAAGATCCAAATGTCAAAGTTAATGTCATAAATTTCATGAATTGCTAATTTCAACATAGACTATTTCTATTGTCTGGATGGAGCACCACTAAAGTAATAAGTAACCATATAAATCACATAAATAATGATGATTAGTCAAATTTACAAGTCTCCAATGAGGGGAATGATTTATGTTCATCTCCATTGAGGGGACTTGCACTTTGTTGAGTAAATAGGATTATTTTTTTCCCTCTTGGCAGCATCAATCATGACAATTTGGTTCTCGCCACTTGAAAGGACAAAGATGAATATGCTGACCCTTCTGAAGTCCTGCACTGTAGCCTTGTGTGCTTAAAAACCTGGCATAAGCAAGTACATTGTACAAACTCGGAAATTGTTTCTTTGTAAATCAGAGATCACAGTCGGACACCAAATTTCTCTGTTAAAGCAATAGACTTTAAATATGGAAAACATACTCAACAAAGATTGAGCTCAAAAACATGTTATAGTGATTTCTTACACAAGAACTGACCAGGAAAAATCACAATACCTATGCGAATGCCAGACAAAGCTAAATGGCAAAGAACAGAGATGACAAAAGACATTGGGCCTCTTATTTAAACTCCGGTTACTGACTGGTTCCTTATAAATCTGGTTGGCTTCTCTACTTCCTATTTTATATTTTAGTCTTATATTGAATGTACAGAAACAAATAAGAACATGGAAGCCCTTTGTAATTCAAGGTGTTCTGCAGGTTTGAAAGGCAGATAGGGTTACTCTTTGCAATATAATGATAACTAGGAAAAATGCTTATGCCCGAAAGCAGAATAGTATAACAACCATTGTGATGATGAATAAGATGTTCAACAGGACATTTTGAGATAATGGACACTACAGTTGACACCACAGCCCCAACTGCAACCATTACTAACATCAGATTACAAACAAGCACATGTCAAAATAACAAAATGTGTTTCAAGTAAATTCTAAGTTAGTAACATCTGAGCAGTGTAGGACCATTAGGCATGCACAAAGGTACACAAAGGAATGTAAGTTGAACTTTCCATATGACTGCACATGTTCTCTTTGAGGAGTAACCAAATAGTTGACCAAAACAACAATGATAGACATCATTTATTTGTCAATAAATTCGCCAACATAACAAGCTTACTTGTAATGCAAGACCAAGTCCATTTTCTTCCTGCTCAAAATATAGTAGCTGCAATAAATAAAAAGCTAAAGTAAGAACAGAATTCCAATTTCAGTAAAATGTGATCAAGCACTAGAAGTAATCATCACAAATAAATTCCTAAAAATTCGTTTAGAACCATATAGCCCACAAAGGATTCATGAAGAGACAACTAGCTAACATAGCATTTACATAGTTGGAGATAGATTTACCAGGTGGGGCAGCATAATATAAAGTGAAGATACATTATTCATTCGAAACATTGTCTTGTTAAGCGTCGTAAATGCTAGACTAAAAATATAGAATATATGTACTCGGTATGGAATGCATTGGCTCCTTTGGATAATGACAAGCCAAAATCTTCCATTTATCCATGCACCACCTGACTTGCATCAGATAACACTATTAGCAAAAATATGACAGGTAAAGGGACTGAAACCCAAGTTATAGAAGCATGAAAGGCCATCAAAATTGTCCAATGACAGTTTGTAACCCTGGAAATGTCAAGGTCAATATCATGACTCCATAGATTGTTAAAGTTCCTACACTATGAGTCACCCAAAAGTCCACGAATTTTTGTAGCTTTAAATAAATACAAAAGAACACATGCAGCTGTGCTATTAGAAAATGCTTTAAATAACCTTGAATTTGCTTTTTTCAGCAGAACAAACTCGACAAACCACTCCCATCTGGGCCTCCCTCTCTGTTATTTCTACCGAGTAAAAGTGAGCAGACTGCTTTTCTACCTGTGTAGTGTTGGAGAAGTAAATAAAAGATTGAATGCAACAGTTCTAAAAGCAATAAGTGGAAAAGTGATAACCTTTCTGGCAATCAACTGACCCAATGGAAGTGGACTAACAATTACTGTGCCATTAAGTGCCTCCTCCAAAACAGTTGCAGACACAGTTGTCTTAATCTGCACTCCAAGTTTACTAACATCCAGTATACATTATAAATAGGTGGTCATGAAAGTCTTCTGATAATTGGTGCAAAAGTGTTGTCATGAAATACAAAAATGCCAGCAAGTTTCACTAATTAATTTTACCTACAAAGTGCAGCAAACATTGTGTTTACAGTACCAAGATTTGAAAGATCAACCTCCAATTCTTGGCTAACTGATTCAATAGCCTGGGAAAAGAAAATTAAATTCCATGACTCTGTTGGTGGATAAAAAGACAGCATCAAATAAAAAAAAAAGAGTACAAAATGAGAGAAAATATGATTTCAATGATGACGATGGTTTGGATGAGCTTAAGTGTTAGACAAAAGACAGTCCTGAACTGTCATCTAATAGAATGAAAGTCAACCTCGAAACCTGATGTGTCATACTGATGTCGTTTATCTGGATCAGACAAGATATTGTATGAGAATGTGACCTCCTTAAAGGTATCCGCTGCGATAGGATCATTTGCATTTTTGTCGGGATGGTACCTGCAAAATGAGCAGAAACAGATGATCAGGCAGATCATGGATAATTTACTTGCTGTTACCATCCCCATCCCTAGCAGGATAAAATTCAACCATGACGTGTTAGAAAACTTTTACAAATTTAATTTCTTGACTACTTCAACTGAATCGACAATTTTCACTGCCTCAGTTGTGATCATGCCATATAGCCTCAGAAACATCTTACATAATGATGTTGATCTTATTTGCTTCTATCGTGATGCAGCTTTAAGCATTTTGATCATCTAATTAGCAATTTAAGAGTTGGGATGTCATTGTCAACCTCAGAACTAGATCAATCCCAGGAAAGTCAAAGAGTCAACAGGAAATTTTCTCCAAACAAAAATGTCTTTTCTATATAAATGTCAAATAATACAGTATTCTTTGTGCCACTTCAATGGCAGATGAGTATTTGCTTGGGTGCTACAAAGTCAAAGTAGAACTACACTTAGAAAATTCATGGTTAGGAATTAATCATATGAAGACAACCTGTAGCTAAGCTTAGCATATGGAAACAACGTGTACGAACCCAAATCTTCTACGAAATTGTCATCCACCTCTACTTGGAGCTGTATAATACGAAGAAACAGTTTACAGAATAATTTGATCAAAACATCAGATTTTTGCTGGTGCAAGACCAGCAGTCCATGATAAGTTGACCTAATACTGTAATACAGGATGACAATTGGATTGCTATAGTGTTTGATCATTTATACACACACACACACACACACACGCAAACATACATGCATAGTTAAACTTTTAGCATGGATAGAATCAGACTCATGATAATTTAAAATGGAATCTCGGTTGTAAGACTAGTTGCCAATCCAGGAACACATGATAATTTTTTAGTAATGTAAGATGTATCTAAAAAACGTCTAATTTCTTCAGACAGAACTAATATTCATCACCAGGTTATTCCTTTCTACCCAAAAATAAACATGAATATGAAGCACCAATAAGTCCAAACATATGTCTATGTGCTAAGTAACGTTGGATTGGCTCTACCACCAACTGCTTGCGCTAGCTAAAGAGATATCAACCCACCACTGAGACTTAAAATATACCAAATTAAATGATCATCTCAAGAAAATAAGAAAACTCTCAAAATAATAAAAGCCCACTTATACTGCAAAGCGATACGCAAAAACTACGCTCTCAAAGATATCACATTTAGAATCCACCAAGAGAATTCGGGGCTCTTACTTGAGGGCCATTCTCCTATACGCACTTTTGATTTCCTGTTCCGTAGCATTGCGAGAAACACCAAGAACTTCGTACGGGTCCCTCCTCTGCTGCTGCTTCTTATTGGCATCCTCTCTCCTCTCGGACCTCGAGGAAGGAAACCCCGGAGCCGGCATCTCTCCACTCCCAAAACCAAACTCCGAGCTTTAACCCTAATCGCCCTCGAACCCAACAAAGAGAACACCTTGACACGACCCAAACCGCGAATCCCGTGTGAAGGACACAGATCTACAAGCCTAACTCGTTCTGTTACCCATTCGAATCCAATTAGAGAGCGAACGAGATAGCCCGCGGAGCTCGAGGAGGGAGCGATGGAGCCGCCTCGAAGCTCGGCCAACGAAGAAGAAGAAGAGGCGAGGAGCGGGGGAGGATTTGGAGACGGGAGGAGGGAGGAAGGATGGGTGGGGTTTCCACTGCTCCTCATGAACAGTGCAGCTGTTAAGATGTCCCTCTCCCGTCACGACATCCGAGCTATCTACGCCCACCACATTAACCGCTGATGGCGCACGAAACTTTCACGTGCGGGTAAATCCTCTGCCGTTCATTATTCGATCAACGTTTCTGATCGAACAAATCTTATGCGGGTATTCAAATGGAAGAAACGGCGATGGGGAATTTGAAATCAGATCGGGAAAGCCATTGATCGGTGAACGTTCAACTCTCACGCGTTTTTCGCACCTACTTATGATTGGGTGCTGAAGTGGAGTCCACTAACCAAGCCTCCGAGATTTCCAATCAGATGCAAGAGGGTGCGAGTAAGAAAAGTGGATTATTTTCTGCAATTAAGATGTGGGGCTTAATTGGGTCCACAGCGGTACTTCTCTTATGCATCTCAGAGACACCATTGACTTAACTATTGGCCGATAGGGGTCCCACTGAAGCATGGACCACTAGTAAGGCCAATGAAGAGACTGATAACGTCACCATCACCGTCACCATCAGGTAGGAAGAGTTCTGTAGAGGCAGAACAGCCTGCTAAATGACAAGCCATACATACCTGAGACTTACCCCTCTCCATTTTGAGTTACCTTTGAGACTCCAACATCTTTAAGCCTTTCTCAGAAGCCATCTCTCTTGATACTGTGCCACTTTGAAACCTTAACATGTCAAGTCGTCCTCAGTAGCTATCACTATGATAGTGCAACAAGAATGGAAGATCGAAAGAAAAGAAAAATATGTGATGGGAAAGCAAGCAAGCATTGGCAGAAAGTCGAATGCCGAGAGGCAGCACAGCCTCCCCATAAACCATGCATCATCTCTTTGCTTTCTCCTGACAAAGTCTTTTGGCCCGCAGACAAACAGAGTTGACAATGTAATTGGAACAACATGCGCCCACAAAATATGGAGCAAAGCAATACTAAAAGCTTAATTTATTCGTGATCACCATCAATTTAATAAGCTGGTGAACCCAAGCAAAAACTTGCACTGATGAACAACATGGAAATCAGATCCCTGTCATTCATGGCTGCAGTGCTGCCAACCACCAATTTCAGCATCCTGATTCATGCAAGGACAACAGCATGCACACACTTGAAATCCTCCTCTCTTTGAGCCCCAAATACTTCCAAATTATATATATATATATATATATATATATATGGGTGTTCTGATGCAGTATTCAGTAGGATGAAGTCTTCTTGACAAATAACCCTGCTGTTGTCAGCATTGATGCAGTTGGTTCCATGGAACATTGTCTGTGAATGTTTCATGAGTCATACAATCCTAATGTTTAAAGAGAAAAAAGAGTATAGTTTTATCATCGAAGGTATGATAAAGATGTTAACTTCTTGAATAATCCACTTCCATGGTATGTCATGAACTGTTCTTGAGCTCTTCCGACTCCTCACACCTAAAAACAGCTTGCACCTTTATCTGTACAGCACCACCATAGGGACAATGGATATTTGTAGATCACCAACACAACATGTTTCGTGATGCCCCAAGAAAAAGAGCTGTGCTTTAGTCACCCAAAAAAGACATCTTAAACAGCAGAAGATGTGGCATTAATCAAAAGGTAAATGGTGACATTAACTGTGGATGGTAAGATTTATGGGATTAGGATCAGCTTATTTTGTGGTTGTAAGAATAAAATGACCTGTGTGGAGCCACTAAAATCTTCCCTGATGAAGCCAAGCAGCTGTTCTTTTCCATCATCCTATTGCAATGACCACCAATATCTATATAGCATTACCCACTTTGTTTACTAGTTCCATCATGGGGCTTTGCTTATAAATAAGAAGACCAGAGAAAAGCCCAAAGCTAAAGTGAGAGAGGCATTGTCTCTTAATCATGGACAAAAAAAGCGATTGTTATATGAAAGAATGTGGAGCTCACTCTTCCATGAACATGGTTTGCTTTCTCTATATTTCTGGCTGGCTCCCAACCTCTCTATGGGATCCACTTGAAGCCTACACAGCTCAATAGAACCTTTATCTTCCTCCCATGGCTTCTGAGAACTTCATCACTAACAGTTTTCCCTTCTATCATAACTATGCTATAGTTGAAGAGTTATGACCAAAGCAAAAGCAAGTCATAAAAATTGAAAACCAATATAACCTTTTCACTAAGTATCTAAAGCTTTTCTTTGAGATGGTAGCAATAAATAAAGCACAACTTGGAACAGCAGAATTTAAGTTGTCAGGATATGCTCATCTGTAAAGCTATAGTTTTCTAGCAACCTTTTTGGTTTGCCTTAAGTTCCAGAGTTCCACACACAATCAACTAATTAGAAGGGTCACCATAGCCAGCCTCATCAGTCTATGAAAGTACTACAGAGTTTTCTCTCATGGAATAGAATTAGCCTACTTTCTTCAGTATTGAGAACTTTAGCGTCTTTGAACAAAATTGTGAAGTTTGCAAGTCTTCTGAAGGCATTCTATATAGTGCTTCATATGATCCCTTTTCTCAACTATAATTCAAAGTTGCCTTCAGCAATAACTTTTTACCGAGAATTATTCGAATAAATAATCTCTCTGTCCTTACCTTCACTATGCTTTAATGGGATAGCTTCAATAGATTCTGTTCATCAGGCACTTTTTACAGGGAATAATGATTCACAATCTACTTCTGCAGCATGTCTTAGAAGAGTTATCTTTTTTCCCTCCATTATCTAATTTCCTATTAAGAGCTGATCCACCACAACCATAGTATATTGGCTTAGGTAACTATTTAAACCAAATCGTATCTGCGCAACGTGGTACCAGATCCATGTCATGTTTCTTGCCACCAGTTCAAGTACCATGTCAAGCTAGCATCAACAAGTTCTTGGAATAACACTCGAGATTTTGAGTCCAGGATTTTATATGTGAGATATGGAAAGGATCTCTTCTTTGATTGGTTGGATAATTGAGTGGGGAAGGAAAAAGCACATATGGAATGCCTTCTTTTGTCAGCTGGAAGCCTCTAGTAGTCTAAATGTTGGCACAATCATTGGTTGGCATATCAAGGATATCTAGCAGTTTATTATACCAACTACAGTGAAGATGCATAGAGAAGTAGGCATGTCAGATGAGAAAACAAAGCTTTAGAGTTTAATCAAACTTTGATGAGAAGGAAATAAACATCTATATGAGATGAAAGAAGATTAGTCTGCAAGCATTGAGAGGAAACTCTCAGCTTAGTGCAGTTTTGCTTTAAGAGAGTAAAATAGACTATTTTTCTTGAATTGTATTAGGCTCATAGACAAAGTTATGCATTGTAAAAGATTTTTTCGCCAAGTTGATGCATTTGGCCCCATTTAAGTTGACAATCACCAGTGAATTAATTTCTACTGCCACAAACTCTAAACTTCAAAGTGCTTTCATTGTAATGAGCTGGGAGATCTGTTTGACCAATCTACCAGTAGCTTGAAATGGGGTTCTCTGAACAGGATTTTTTTCCAGCTGGAATGCTATGTTAAGAGCAAGGACACTGCCATAAATCATAGAGATAGAATGTTCTGATCATACACTGTTGCAAGAGATGATTCAGTCAAGAAAATGATGAGAATTTTTTAGCTTTAGATCATCAGCACAGGAAGATCAGGTGCTCCTAGAGAATGAAAGTGACAGCTTGCCTATACAAAAGTAGTGAGATTTCTCATTGGAGCCTTGAGTTGTTAATCATTCTACATCATGGGGGTTGCTCCTATTTCATTCTGAATAAACAAATAGCAGGCTTACTTGTCATTGTGGATCTGTCTTCAAGTTGAAAACGATCTATGGAAGTCCCAAAAACTAACAAAAAGTATTGCTGATAATGTGGGAGTATCATTAGGGTTTAACTGTGGCTAGATTTAAAGATCATATAAGCAATCCAACAATTGACCATGAGGAGTCTTAATCTGTGATGGGAAGTCAAATGGTCAAACATGAACTATAGTGATCCATCCAACTCTAAAATGTAGAAAAGTCATACAAAGCTGCAACTGCAATTTTCTTCTATCTGCCTGGAGGCTGAACTTGATGACAACATACAAGTCAAATAAGACTAGGACACTTGATATGCACTTTAAACTAACACCAAAATAACAGTGAACCACAAAAAGGATATCTGATCAATATATCTCATCGAAACATTGAGAACCTATAAAGCAAGCCAGTATTGCTGCTGTGAATATTCAAACTCTGGCATCTCTTACATAAGCCAACAATACTACAAGTGCACAATGGGGTCTGCTAAAGCTTATGCTCAATACTATTGGCTAATAAACTAAAAACTGATCCTTAACAACAATCTTATGTGGTCCTATCTTGGTTATTTCAAGTGTCCTGATTAAAAGATAATTGGTACAATACCAAATCTACTTGAATTAACTAAGCAAGATCTAGCACAAGCGGGTAAACGCTGCACCTGATAAAGGTAGTATAACAAGCTTAATTCTAACTAATTCAAACAGGAAGCACAATAAGAAAGGTTGAAATAAAAATAGAGAATCTCAATGGTTCATGCAATATTGACAATCATTATATATTTGTCTTATAAACTGGATATGTAACAGTTTATTTAGAACAAAATTATATTTTTTTTACAGTAATCGGAACAGTTTATGAGGTCTTAAGATAATAACCATTTCTTGAACCCCACAGCTCTGAGTAAAATATAGTAGCTGAGCTGCTAATAGAGAGAAGACAAGCAAACTTCGAGTCAAAGTCTTATGTCTACTAATTCTATGTTATCAATACATATCATCATTAGATTTGTTCATGGCGAATCATTTACCTACTGAATCTTCCCCTGGTCTTCGCCACCTAAAAGTCTAGAGCTGTTCAACATTACCTGGTAAAGACTAAATGGAAATAGAAGAAAGAAGAGATATGAAACCACGGTGAGGAGAGGAGAGCTATATATGGCTCACCTTGAGCTTGGAGCGACAGGGGAATGAATGGGAAGCCTCAAGTCGTTTTGGAGGTTCTCCAACCACCACCG